GTGTTTGTTGGAGGGAGATGACCACCATGCCGTGAACTGATGGAGTTGCGGAGACCCGCCGTGTATTATATTGACTTACCTTACCTTTGTATCAGATGCGCCTCAGTGATATCACCCCACCTGGAGGAACACGTGCTTCCACGTCCTTACCATACGTCCTCTCTATTCCATTTCCGTGACTGAGTGTCCCTTTATCAGATTGATACACAATTTATGACATTAACATCGAAAGTGTGATTCATGTCCCCACAACATCCATCCATTCACTTACACACTATCACCCGCATGCTGAACATGATTTCATTTGTAAAACTTGAACGTTAATTACATCGCTCACATTTACCCCTCGTTGTTTACACATCGAGGCTTTATCTGTAATGATATTCGCTTGACTCACTGTTATCAAGTTATTGTGTGACTAGCTGCAAGCGTGCTGATGCAGAGGGCAGATCTCGACGAAGAAGCGTGCAAGTCGCCGGAGTTCAAGATCAGCGAATGCGGCGAACGCTGAACAGTTCGTAGTTGGAAGCATTTACAACAGGAACTAGGTAGGTAGATAGGTAGACAAGAATAAATGGCCTGCGCCAACCCTTTGACTCAGACGAACGCAGGAAGGATTTTGGTGGCCGTTGTATTTTGTTGAGATTTTTGAAAATCCTTCCGAACCCATAATGATTCAGGGCGATATGAATCTATCTGTGTGTTGCTCCTATATTGACATTTCTAGATCAGGAACACCATACATCATTATTTATCTGTTAATTCGATGCCCGGCACATTTGAATTTTGCGTAGTTTGAGAACGTGAGCGACTGGACATCTTATTTGACTCGCTTGCTTGAGTGCTTCCGGCCGCATATTTGAGGTTTGCTTTGTTGTAAATCTGTAATGATTTCGTTAATTCAGTAACGTAGAACATTACGAATCAATCGTGTTTTTTTTTCAGGATTCGTATAGATTTCGGCTATGCGTCACTCAAGTGTGAATTGGTTGACGTACACTGACCTCAATCTGAAGGGTCTTCTGCAAGCGGTATTCGCGGCTGCGATAGATTGCTGGGCCTAGCTGAAATGGTAGGTTATGATGATACCCAGGTCCTTAAACGTACTAACGGATTCTATCGTGAACGAACCCTGGTCTTGCAGTACTGTTAGGTTTCCGTCGGTCCGCGATAGCATTTGGCTTTTACCAGCATTCAGCGGCAAATCCCACTTCTGCACGCAGTTGAGGACTGCAGCTGTCACTTTTGAGGTTCTCTCTTCCTTTAGATCCAATCACCTTGACATCGTCGGCGAAGAATGGGTGGGTGATCTCAGCAGCGCAGCAAGGTCGTTTACGGATAGTAGGAACAACAACGGACTTGGCACGGAACCCTGGGTTATACCACTTGTGAAGGATGCTGTACGGGAGCACTTGTCACCTACTTTGACGTAGAAGGTCCTGTTAATGACGTGTGTGTATTTTTCCCCTTATACCGAACTCCTCTATTTTGACTAAGGTCAGCCGTTAGGTGACCGAGTCAAACGCCTTGCTAAAGTCAAGATAACATACATCTACTCTGGGCTCCTCGCGCAACCTTCTGGTAACTTCGTCCAAGAAGCATAGTAGACTAGTCAAACATGATTTACTTTTGAGAAACCCGTGTTGATTTGGACACAACATAGAATGCTGCGTTAGGTGCTGGCATATATGGGTGCGAATAATCTTTTCTAGCACCTTACACAAGATACTGGTTAGACTAACTGGCCTGTAGTTACCTACCTCTGATCGGGCTCCTCCCTTATGTACGGCTACCACCGCCGCTACCTTCCAGTCGTTCGGTAGGACACCTTGATCTAATGAACCTTTAAATAACTTATACACCGGTCCTGCGAGGATGTCCGCTATGGGCTTGAATATAGCTGGATGAATCTTTTCCGGTTCAGCCGCTTTATGGACGTCCAGGCCATCCAAGTTCTGCCGCGCTACCTCTTCCGACAACTGAAGGTCCCCGATTTCTGGCGGGATGTTCCAAGCTCCAAGGTTCTCAGTAAACTGTCATCCATTCGGTGTACGTTGCCAAAACAGCCAGCCAACGCATCTGCCGTATCTTGGTCGTCCATAACGACTGCTGCAGCACCTATATTTAATGGTCCTATGCCCTACCTCATTGCTCCCTTGGATTGTACGTAGCTATAATATTTCTTTGGTTTGATTTTGGAGCATTTGGACAGTTGAAGCTCACGTTGCCTTTTTTCTTCTCATATTAGCCTAACCGCCTCATTTCTCCACCTTCTATAAAGAATCCAGGCCTGTTGATTCCCGGAAACTCTAAAGCTCTTCCAGTAACTATTTCGTTGTTTAATGGCCCTGGCTATGGCTGCTCTCCACCACAACGGCTTGTCGTTACGTCGGCTAGGTCTCAATGGAGCGAATTCGTTTTGCAGATATAAGAAGGCCCATTTAATTAACACCAGGTGATCTTCCACGCTAGCCCCTTCTAAAGCATCTCTAACCAACTCCGATGCCCTGGTTCTAAGATTCCCTGGATCCACACAGCCGAAATTTGTAGCCAGATTGGATGGTCCCCTAGCTTGCGGCATGCATACTTTGATCGATATGATAATGTGGTTGCTTTTACCAAGAGGTGGGTAAGACTTTAGCGCCAGGATATCGTTCTTGTAAATGGTGGTCACTAGACCTAGCTGTAGCATTACCCGACCTGAATCTAGAGCTTTCCCTAACATGTTACAATGAGGCATTCTCATGCAGCCATTTGATATGGTCCTCTACTTGTGTCCCCCGGGTGCACACCTCAGACCTCCAGTCTATATGTGGTAGGTCGAAGTCATCAACAATGATGGCTTTGTTAGCTTCCTTAACCACCCTCGTGAGGGCACACAGCAGTTGACTATCCTCCTCACGGTTTGTACTTGGTGCACGATAAACACATACAACGTTGATCATTCTATCCTTGAGTATTAGGATTACTGTGCACAACTGCACACTTCTCGTGCAAAGAATGGTCTCTGATTTTATATGGTTTGTGCCTCTACTGATCAGAATTGTCACTCTTCCGCTCTCATATACCTGATTTCGGTCCTGTCGGTAGACGGAGAACGAATCTTTGACTATCTGCGGTATATGGTCTATATTAGCAAGCCATGTTTTGGTGATTGCCACTACAGACACCTTCTGTTCCCAGGCTATTTGAGCCAGTTCTGCCCATTTATTCTTAACGCTGCATGCGTCGTATACAGCATGAACATGCTGTCCTCCGTTCCTATGCGTTTCCCATAGTTTCCTCATGCTTGGGCATCGGGCGCAACATCCGAGGAGACACTAAGTTTTTCCGCGGTATTTTTAGCCTGCGGGTCTTTTTGGTGAGCCACCTCAGCCGGTGGCTCTTGGCTGAACCTTAGTGAAGCTTCGTCTACGTTGTTTCCTTGCAGGCAACTTCCTACTGCTCGTCTTCTAGGACATCTTCAATGACCACGACTCCCGGCGATACCCCTGATATGCGTGCTGCGCGATTGCCGGAAGATATCCTCCGAGTTTGGACCGGATTGTTTAGTTTATCAGGATTCATACCCATTTTTCGAGCACTTAAGCGTTCTCTGTGACTCCCACTGGGTCCGTCTAGTTCGATCTGATATCGGCCTNATCGGCCTCTTGTCCTTTGGGCTACCAACGCAGATAGGGCCAACAGTAGATCCTTAGTTTGTTCCGCGACGAACTCTACTAGAATTGGTCGCGCAGGAGGGTCATTTCTATTGGGATTCGGGGGTTTATACGTCCCCACCCGATGGACCTTTTTAATACCTCCAGGATGCAAGATGCCTGCTGGACACAGTATGTCTAACACCCTTCTACGGTCCAACTCCCGCCTGGTCTTGGCCTACCTTATATAGGGCTCCTCCCGTTTAGTATCAGAAGCCTCCGCCCGGATGACTTATTAATCGTATGAATCTACCTTTGTAGATCTAATACGTGTCTCTCGAGGGCTTTTAGTTCCGGGTGACTGGTTCCCAAACGTTTTTTTGCTTTTTTGCTCGAGGTCTCTTCACCGGTTGTTGCACCTTCCCAGCTACCTTCATCCCTACTCCGCTGACGACCTGTCGAACCGGGGTAGAGGAAAATGCCACCGAGAAATTGCTGGGACGTCCCGATAACACTTTTCCCGCTGGAGTGCTAGCAATCTCTGCGTATGACCGACGCGCTGCGGCGGTCAGGTCAGGTCAGGTTGCACGGGAATAAATAAGGCCACGGTCAATCGAGCATCCAGAATTCCTTCGATGTTATGCTCACTACGTAGGCACCCAACTCTGATGAAATAAAAATGAGAAACAGGATTTTATCTCACCAAGTTGGCGAGTGAATTGTTAGACGTGAGTGTTCTACTCATGCACTAGGTATCGTAGTCGAGTTCAGTCAGAGCGCAACAGTATGGTACTGTCTTTTCCAGGCAAATATAATTAAGAGATGTAAGCATGTTACAGGTTTACCCGCAACATTCCTCTTCATGTCAGAAAATCTGACAAAAAACCTGGTGGCGTGAAAATAGATGAGAAACTGAAAATGCGTACCACAGTCAATCTCACGCGACTGGATATTGAGGAGGCACCACACATCTTCTCTCTCAAAAAGGACAAGAACCTACGCTTCGCCCCACTAGTCGCTAGCACTCCTGACGCAAGCTTCGCGGACATAACTACGGATGACCCAACCATAGTCGGGATCCTCAACCGTAAGTTATTATCACCTATGAAACCATTGCACGCTCCAGTAAAGGTTGTCAAAGGTCCCATCAAGCTGCCCACCATTCGACCAATAGCTGCGGTGAACAGGATACTTGGTAATCCACCACCTAAGGCAATCACCTCAGCTCATACCTCGAAGCAACCCAAATCTTATTCCTCCAAAACTAAAAACTTAAGAATCATTCTTTCTGCACCAAAACCCGAAAGGTTGGCAAGCGTCGTCAGGTTGCTCCTAAAGCGAACACCAACACAGGACTGTAAGAAAAATAAGACGCACCAAACCCCTCTTCTCTTCCCAGTAGACCGGTCTCACCCACCAGACAGAGTAAAACCCCTGAAAACCGGCAAGTCAATCTTGTCAGTACGCAATATGAATACCAAAAAAATGGCAGCACTAGACCTGCTGAAATACATAGTGTGCAGGTGGTGAAGTACGTAACAACCAATCACCTCAGTAAAACTAATGAAATCCTTGAACTGCGGCTATTGGCGCACAAAAAGAAGCCACACGTATTAGCTCTAACGGAGACATGGCTAATTCCAGAGATACTGGATGGCGAAATAATGATAGACGGTTTCACCTTGTTCAGACAAAACTCAAACCGTGGCCATGCGGGCGGAGTGGCTCTCTTCCTTAACGATTTCCTCCCACACACACTTTCCGTGTCTCCCTTTCTACCATCCAATCGATTGAGACCCTATGGGTCAACATCGTCTTCCCGAGCAGGGACTCACTCCTCCTGGAGGTTGTTTATCACTCCCAAGCAAACACAGAGGGGGAAGTCAATCACTGCTAACTGAGCTTCGCGACCTCCGTCCCACTTGCACTTTCACACCTTGTCCTGGGAGACTTCAATGCCCCGAATATCGACTGGCCAAGATGCCACTCCAGAGATAAAATGTTTGGTGCACCTCTTATAAACCTTTTCAACGAAAACTCGTGGTACCAACACGTAAATTCTCCCATGAGATACCATATCGGCTAACGTCCCTCTTTGCTTGATCTTGCGATTACCAACGAACAACACCAGATCGACATGATCACGTAACTACATTCTGTTGGTAAACGTGATCACCTCTTGTTTTCCTTCGATCATATTATCCGCTGGCCAACTTGAAGGCCCTCTTCCAGAATGCTACGCTCGTTCAAAAGGGTTGATTTTGTTCTCTTACGAGAATTCCTGACCAACAGGCTGGGCTCCTTCAGTATTGATACTGATCCGAACAATCTAAATGAGTTGCTCGAAAGTCTAATCCACGAAGCGGATCACCTGTTTATTCCTAGAGTTCAATCTGTATCTGACCATAGGCCTCCCCTAACCTGCTCCATTCGGCACCTAATGGACGAGCGGGCGCGTTCATTCGCTAGACTAAAATGTACTGGGCTCGACGCTGATTCTGTCGAGTTCAAACGAATCCGCAATTTATGTAAGCAGAGAATTAGGAAATTCCTCAATAAACAACTGAAACCAATTCTTCTTCGTGCTAGAACTAACCCCAAATTCCTTGTTTAAGTCACTCCGCCGTAAAAGGCAATCAACCCCCTCTGCGCTAGTCACCAAGCTACCTGAAGGCTCTCCTGTAACATCCTCTGCTCAGGTAGCTGATATCTTTCGGTCTCATTATAAATCCGTCTTTAACTTTCCTCCTGTCTCTTTCCACTCCAATCTTCCCCCTCTTGATACACTTCCCCATTTGAACATTTCATCATTCTTCCGGAGGAGACCGAATTAGTCCTCAAATCCCTACATCCCTTTAGTTCAATGGGAGTAGACGATATACACCCTCTAGTGTTGAAATAAGCCGCCTCGGTCCTTCCTCCGTACATTCCACCCTCTTCCAAAGGTGTCCAGATGCTGGAATATTCCCTTCATCCCGTAAGGGAAGCCCCATGTCCCCCAATCTTAAAAGGAGACAGTCAGACTCCTAGTGGTTATAGACCCATTAGCCTGATTGTTGCACCCAGTAAGGTCTTTGAACGGGTTTTGAAAAGGGCAATCCTGAAACACTTATCAGACAATCAACTTCTTTCCCAAACTCAACACGGCTTTCTCCCTGACAGATCCTGCCTCTCCAAAATGCTATCTGTCATGGACAGTCTGACACAAGCTCATGATGATGGCTTGATTCCTCACGCAATTTTCATTGATTTTGCAAAAGCTTCCGATCGTGTCCCGCACGCTCCCTTACCCTATAAACTCGAATCATACAGCCTCAGTGGCAGACTGCCCGCTCTTTTTTGCGATTTCCCCACGAACCGCACCTACTAGGTCCGCGTAAGTTCATTGCTCTCATCTGATTCTTCCATTTCTACCGGAGTCCTGCAAGGTTTCGTCCTTGGCCCCCTCCTCGTCCTTATATCATTATAATAATGACCTGCCACACAGGATCGGAGTCAACATCAAATGTACGCCGGTGATAATAATAAAACTAATCGTGTATTTCACAAAGCTCGTGAAGCCTGCTAGTACGCATGATCAATTTGTGGCAATTGGGGGACAATTTGGGGCACCGATCCTGTGGTTGTCCACTCAGCAATGAATACACTCAAAGACTGGCCTACGGTCCGGAACCTTCCAAAAAACGACGAAAAAGGTCACTTTCGTTCTTTCACCACCAGCAAAAAGCCAGTAGATCCACCTTCCGTGTTCTTAACTTCCGAAGATTCTCATTTCCCAGAATAGATTGGGATGGCTTTCACATTCTGTATAGCACTTACATTCGACCCTTATTGGACTACGGAAGTAAAATTGCTCACTTCCGCCTGGTGAGCGACTGTATGACCCTCGAGCATCTACAACGGAGAGCGACTTTTTTGTATGGCTTGTCTTCCACCCCTTAACCTGCACGCCTTTCCATCTTGAATCTGTACCCCCTGAAACCTACCGGATAACAGGTGACATCTTCCTATTGTACAATCTCTTCAATTCCGGCAGGGTTGATGACTTCTTTGTGCGCACTAGTATGGGCACTCTTCGTGGGCATAGCATGAAACTCTTCAAACCGCGTACCCGTATACTAGTCCGTTAGTGCTCTTTCACCCACAGGGTCATTTCTTTTTGGAATAGCCTCCCCGAAAAAGTAGTTAATGCCCCCACAAGATCCGCTTTGAAAAGGAATCTAGACCTGTATCTTGGTCTAATCCCTGAACGGTAAGCATCCCCCATCCCATAGTGTTATTCGTGTTTCGTATTTTTTCCTGAACTATCCGATTTGTCGCACTGCATGTAGATACTGTACTCCCTCCCCTCCTCTTACCTAATTTAAGGTAACCTTCTTGTATAAAACAGAACGCGGACCCACTCTAATCATCCAACATCCGCCGCAGTGGAGCCTTGTCCGTACCCAGCCCACCGGGACACAGGACCAGGAGAAACCTTAGAAACTACTAAGATCCAGGACCACTAAGCCTAATCTCGCACCCGTGTAATACTTCAAAACTTCAAGACTCCTATCCTCGATGTTCCCTTCATGATTTTGAAGGTTTTTATCAGGTCCCCTCGCAGTCTTCTTCTTTTTAATGAGAAAAACCTTAAAACCTCTAATCTTTCCTCATATGTTTTCCCCCTTTGGCCTCAGACCATTCTGGTGGCCAATCTCTGAACTTTCTCTAAACAGGCAACATCCTTCTTGAATAAGGGTGACCAAGCCTGTACATAATACTCTACGCATGGTCTGACCATGGCTTTGGAAACGGGAATGAAGACTTCCGATCGTCTGCATGATAGGACGGACCGTATTCTAATTAATTCTCCCTAGCCTTGCGCGCTGCTTTTGTGCACTGGTCAGACCACTCAAAATGATTCGATACCACTACCCCAAAAGGCTTAATTCTAGTAGCGGGTTCAATAGCGAACTGGTGCTCTTCCGAGTGATCTTCCAGTCCGCCAAATGCTCCTGTGAGTGCATGACTCTTAGTTAGGTCCCATTCCTTTAAACATCTAGCTATTTGCTCTAAATGCCGCTCCAAATCACTTTTCCCATTCGAACAAACCATTTTGACGTCAGCAAAAATGTAGCACGATGGGGTTAGGGCGTTTGGCAAGTCGTTCATGTGAAGAAGAATTAGAAGCGGTCCTAATACTGAGCCTTGCGGAACTCCGCTAGTCAGCTGAACTGGTGTTGAACGTTTCTCACCAACCGTCACATAGAACGATCGTTGTGAGAGAAAGGCATTTATCCACCTGTGCAACTGTCTCTGGATTCCGAATCCTTCTAATTTGGTCAACAACAGGAGATAATTCAATAATTTTAAAACCTCGCTGAAGTCCAGGTAGCAAACCTCTACGGTTTTACCTTCATCCATCTTTGAAGTAACACCCTCCAAAATGCCTAACGAATCCATGCTGTGCCTCTGTCTTTAGTATGTTACGCTCCAGATACTTCACTAGATGCGTTTTGACTATCTTTTCTAGTACCTTGCATAGCACGCTATTTAGGTTAACAGGTCGATAGTTCTTTACATCTGTTTTCTCACCTCCCTTGTGTATGGCTACTATCGAAGCTGTTCTGCAGTCGAAAGATAAACTCCCTTCAACTAGTGCTGCCCCAAAATGGCTGCGAATCGGCCCCAAAATTATATCAACAATCGACTTGATGATTGCTGGGGTAATTCTGTCTGGTCCCGGAGCCCTGGATATCTTAAGACCACCTAGTACTTTAGATACTTGATGGAGTGTCACCCGTGGTTCCTACACTAAATCTGTTGCCGAGGGATGGGAAGAACTTAACTAACCGGTGTCTAACCTTTTTACGCTGCTAATGTAAGCGCAGAATACATCAGGTTCACTCACATTTTCAGTTATAACCCCATCTCCCTCAAGTACCAGCGGGCCCATCTCTTCTCTGGTAGAGCCCTTTGATTTGACGTACCCGTGGTACTCCGGCTCCAGCTTCACTTTCTGGGCCAGCTTCATTTCGAATAACCTCTTTTTCTCGCTCCCCAGGTTAACCACTGCATTACTGCGGTCTGTGTAATAAACCAACGATCTGTGGGTGCCGGCCAGCTGATAGGCTCGCCAGCTTTGGTTTCGGTACCTAATGGCCCTGGAC